GCCATCCTGGGAGCTGCTCACCTCGAGGTTTGATAACAAGAGACTCATCATACAGGCTCACCTTGACGGTCTCCTTAACCTCTCACATACCTTACCCAAGAACGCCGCATCGCTCACCAAGCTAGTCTCAACGGTGTCCGAGATTGATAAGGCTCTAAGTTCGCTTGGCATGGCGGAGCACATGTGGAATTGCTTCTTGGTCCATCACGTGTCACGCTTCCTGGATAGAGACACCAGAGAGGCGTGGGAAACCTCGCTTGGATCATCTCAAGAGTATCCGCGCTTTGCGAAGTTTGAAACCTTCCTCAATGCCAGGGCTAGAGCATTGGAGAGAGTGGAGGCTGCACCACCTTCCTCGGGCAACTCATCGAAGGTCACACCCAGCTCATCTAAATCTGCTAACAAAAGGGCGACTGCTCATCAAGTATCTGCTCCCTCACATGCTCAGTCATTCTCTGCTGCGGCTCACCCGTGCGACATGTGCAATGGACAGCACTTCATTGTAACGTGCTCAAAGTTCAGGGATCTCACGCCGGCACAACGGAAGACCACCGCAATCGACAAGAGGCTGTGCTTCAATTGTCTGGGGCGCCACAATGCTCGCGCATGCAGATCCGCGCTGAGCTGCAAGACATGCTCAGCCAAACATCATACGATGCTGCATGTGGAACAGTCTGCTGCTGCATTGACTCCTGCTCAACCTGCCTCATTACCAGCTCACTAGGAATCAGGTGCAATCGTCAAGGAAACAATTCAAGCTCACGTACATTATTCAACGCTGCTTGCAACTGCAATGGCATGCATACACTCAACGGTCTCAACACATCAAGCAAGGCTTCTCATCGATCAAGGATCTGAGCTCACATTCATCACGGAGGATCTCGTCAGACAACTCAATATACAACGTCGACACGCAACTGTCTCAATCATTGGCATTGGAGCCAGGAAAACGACTAGGACCAAGGGCGTGGTGACGCTCACGCTTCACTCCTATCATTCTAAGCACACTGCCATTGTTCACGCCCACGTCCTCAAAACACTAACGACCATTCTACCATCTTTTACAGCACCTCAACAAACGTGGCCACACATAGAACCTCTGACATTGGCAGACCCACAGTTCCTCACGCCACGCTCAATCGACATCATCATTGGAGCGGATGCATACGGGCAGATTATCAAGCCTAACATCATTAAACGATCTCCTGACATGCCAATCGCTCAACTCTCAATATTTGGTTGGCTAGTGCTTGGTCCAGTCAGCTCGTCACCATTACAAATGTCGACTGCACATCACATCAAGGTTAACCAGTACGATCTCGATCTTCAAGAATTGCTGACAAGGTTCTGGGTGCAAGAAGAACTACCAACTGATGCAGCAGACCAGCTCACCTTGGAAGAACAACAATGTGAAGATCATTACAAGGCCACACACTCTAGAGATCCAACGGGACGCTACATTGTACGCATCCCGCTCAAGCTGCCAACCAGTTTCTTAGGGAATTCACACAATACTGCTCACCATTGTCTCCAGCGCATTCTCAGACGACTCAACAAGGATAAGGAATATCAGAGCCTCTACATCAAATTCATGACCGAGTATGAACAACTCAAGCACATGGTGAAAGTTGGATCACAACCATCCGATGTTCCGCCATATTATTTGCCTCACCATGGTGTGCTCAAACCCGACAGTACAACAACAAAACTGCGGGTTGTCTTTAATGGCTCAAGTTCGACCTCATCAGGATTATCTGTAAACGATCTCATGCACACTGGTGCCAATCTATTGCTCAATGTTTCAGACGTTCTCTTGTGGATTCGTAGTTACAGGTACATCTTTGCCACAGACATAACAAAGATGTATCGACAAATCAAGGTACACCACTCAGACTGGGATCTGCAGCGCATTCTGTGGATCGACGAACATCACAACGAAACATCATATCATCTCACCACGGTCACTTATGGAACGAAGGCTGCTCCATTTCTCGCAGTGAGGACACTCATGCAACTAGCAGAAGATGAAGGCTATCGATTTCCACTGGCAGTACCATCAATCACTCGCGGGAGGTACGTGGATGACATCTTTGGTGGTGGTGACACAGGAGAACAGCTCATAGAAATTGCCCATCAATTAGAAGATCTCTGCCAGGCGGGCGGATTTCCTCTTGCCAAATGGCACTCCAATCATCCAGAATTGTTAAACGCCATCTCATTGACAGTCTCGATCAACTCACCAGTCTCACTTGACGATTGCGCAACCAAAATCCTCGGATTAAAGTGGCTGCCTCAAGAAGATGTTTTC